TCCTGGACCTAACCATTTCCTGGGTCTCACCTTGGGGGCGGAGGCTGTGGGAAGGGACTGGGTCCCTTCAGTGATATCTTCAGGCATGAACGCTACAGCTCCCTCAAGCAGATTAGTGATGGTCAAGTCTACACAGCCAGTTCTGGCTGGGGAGAAGGGAAGAGAGAAGAAGGGAGTCTGTTTCCTTGCTCACTTTCTCCCCTCACCACCCACTTTTCCTCTCTGCGCCTGTCTCCTGTGTGAGGCTACCCTTTCCCATACCCAGGTCTCTCTGGATGACGCCCAGTGGCACATGGGGTAAAACCTCCTTGACTCTCTGAGCCAGAGCTGCCAGCCGCACACCAGGAGAAGGGCCAGGGGAGGGAGGGAAAGAAGACTGGGCTGCAAAAAAGAAATCCGAAACATGGTGAGTGGAGAACTGGGAGGAAGGAGGCTGACTAGCACAGGAATAGGAAGGGAATCACAAGAGGCCGAGAAAACCCAAACAACTTTGTGTACAGAGACCACATACCTGACTGAGGGCGCAACCTGGGGTGTCTCTGTCGTTTCATGTGCTCTGCTTTGTCTGCTGGAGTGAGTCGTGTCCCTGTCTGGCCCAATTCTTTGGCCACCAGCTAGGGAGAATTGGAAGGTTGAAACTGTCAAGGTCTCAAGACTTCCTCCTCCTACCCTTAAGGAAAAACCCCACCTCCACCCTGTCTGTGTACCCTACCACCTCTTGCACACGGATGGCAAACTCTTCATTCCCCTCCCCCAGCTGGCGATGAACAGGAGGGAGCCACCTGCAAAAAAAAAAAAAAAAAAAAAATCATGTTTGTGTGCATCTAGGTAGAGACTATCACCCTCTCCCCCTTTGATACTTCTTTTCATGTAACAGTTGTGATCAGGGTGGGGAGACAGTAAACACTTTGTATTGCCTCTGTGATAAAACCTTGATACTAAACGATCTGCAAATGGACAGGGAAGAGGCAACCTCCCTGACCTTGAGGTGAGCTTCTCCCAGCCACCAAAAAGTGAAGACAGTTAATACCTTACTTGATACACTGTGAAAGGGACGAAAAGTGACCACAGCAGTTCTGAGACCCAGGAGGCATCGGACACCGTCTGGAGGGAGGGCATGAAGTGAGTTCTAAGCCTGGGCCAGGAGTGGGAAACTTACCCTCCAAGCCCCAGAGATTCCCTGTCCAACACACACTCACCACAGAGACTAGGGGTCTCTGGACTCGCAGGGTAAGAGGTTGTACCACATCCTGAATAGAAAATGGCCAGGAACTGGAAGATGGAAGAGAAAGTAGGATGGGATTCTAGCCAGCCGGTCAGCACCTGACTCAGAACAGAAAACTGTCAAACTGTACAAGAAAATAAATGAGGAATAGAGATACAGGGGAAAAGAACTAAAAGCGAACAGAAAAGAAATCAACTAGGACGTAAGAGGTAGGGCTGAAAACTGAAAACTCAAGGGCCCCCAAGCCTGACCACCTACCCAGCTGGAGACCGATACCTGTGCTCACCCACCTGAAGCGCAGGAGCCCCTCCCGGCCATTGGTGGCCTCTTCCTCAGGGAAGAGCAGCAGAGGGGTGGGAGGAAGCCTCGTGGAAGCACAGAATCTCTTGAGTGACTCCACCAATTCCCCCCGCCCATCCATCTCCATGAAGCCCCGAGACCAGCACACAAAACTTGGGGGACTATTGAGTAGAGGCTGGAAATCGAGAAAAGAGAAAGCAAGAAAAGAACATTGGGAAGTGAGAAAAACTGACATTTGGGATAAAGAAGCGGGATTAGGGGTGAGGCTCAGTGTTTCGTGGTCCCCAAGGGAAACGCGGGCGGGCAAAGGGGAGCCGAGCTGGGCCCCAGGGAACCGCCCCGTGGAGCTCTCGGCTTTGCCCCCCACTCACGGTGCTACAGCTGGTGAGCAAGTTGACTATGTTATGGTCGAAAGGTGTCACGTGGTTGGAAATGAGGACCCTGACGCGGTGATCCCGGAGTCCGGAGTCCTCCTGCCGGGCTACGAGCCCCAGCACCGCACACATGGTCCGCACCACGAACCTGGGGGCGCAGGCAATGGTGACTTCACGGCCTCGGGCCGGACCCAGCCCAGACCCTCCCGGAACCCCCAGGTCGTTACCTGCGAAGGACACTGTCTGGTAGAGCGCAGCTGACCAGAAAGACGTGGATCCCAAGAAAGAGGCGCAAGACGAGGAGACAGAACCCGACTGGAGCGTAGAGCAGCAGCGCGAGGAGCAGGAAGCCGTCACCCGGGAGCCTGGGGGCGAAAGGCGGGGTGATCGGGCGCCGAAGCCCGCGTGGACGCGGGAGCCGGCCTCTTTACGCCAGGGCTCTTACCGGTGCGAGTCAAAGAGCCGCTCCGGCCCCAGCGCCGGGGAAGGACCCATTGCTGCTCCTTTAGGGCTGTCCGGCCGCCGCCGCCATCTTCGCGCCCCGCCGCAGGGGCTCCTGGGAAGGCGGAGTCTTCGGGCATCCGCCCAGGGTGCCGGCACCCGAGGTCTTGAGGCGCCCCGGAAGGGCTAGTGTCCCAGCATGCCTCGCGGGCCCTTGGGCCACCTCATAACTCGCGTCCCGCGGGGACCACAACTCCCGGCATTCGCGTGGCGGGGGCGGAGTCGGCCTCCCGGAATCCTGGGTCCCGGCGTGCACTTCTGGAGGACTTCAGGTACCGACGTGCCCCGCGTCCCTCGGCCCGCTAGCTCGCATCCAGGGCGCCGCCTCTGTGTAGGGCGGGCGAGGAGGCAGCCGAGGCGGAGCTGATGGCTGCACTGAGGGCGGGGCGGGGTGCATGCTGGAACCTCCGGGGATGGCGGGCTTTGGGGGGGGTTCGCTGGGGGAAGGGACCCCTGTTGACCCCTGACCTCCGGGCCTTGCTGACGTCAGGAACTCCTGACCCTCGGGCCCGAGTGACTTATGGGACCCCCAGTCTCCTGGCCCGGTTGTCTGTGGGGGTCCCTGAACCACGGACGTGTCTGACGTCGGGGACTTGGGATTCCCGAGCACGGCTGACTGCAGGGACCCCAGATCCCAGGAGCCGGGAGGTCTCAGGGACCCCTGGAACCCGTCTGCGCGTATGGCTGGCGGTGGCGCTGGGCGCTGGGGGGGCAGTGCTGTTGTTATTGTGGGGCGGGGGTCGGGGTCCCCCAGCGGTCCTCGCCTCGGTCCTTGGCTCGCCGCCCACCTCTCCCCGGAGCCAGTACAACTTCATCGCAGACGTGGTGGAGAAGACAGCACCTGCTGTGGTTTATATCGAGATCTTGGGCCGGTAACGGTGGGGAAGAGCAGAAGGCACCCAAACCGCGGGCTACAGGGGGGGCGAGCAGGGGTCTGAGCCTCCTTACATCCTTGCTTTCCCCCCATCCCAGGCACCCTTTCTCGGGCCGCGAAGTCCCTATCTCGAATGGCTCAGGATTCGTGGTGGCTGCCGACGGGCTCATCGTAACCAACGCTCATGTGGTGGCTGATCGGCGCCGGGTCCGTGTGAGGCTGCTTAGCGGTGACACGTATGAGGCCATGGTCACAGCTGTGGATCCCGTGGCAGACATCGCCACGCTGAGGATTCAGACCAAGGTGGGGGTCTGGGCAGGCTGGGTCTGGTTGGGGCTGTGAATTTGGTCACATCTCCAGGTGTCAGTTCTCTTGTACCCATTCTCCCCTCAGGAACCTCTCCCCACACTACCCCTGGGACGCTCAGCCGATGTCCGGCAAGGGGAGTTTGTTGTTGCCATGGGAAGTCCCTTTGCACTGCAGAATACGATCACTTCTGGCATTGTCAGCTCTGCTCAGCGTCCAGCCAGAGACCTGGGCCTCCCCCAAACCAATGTGGAATACATCCAGACTGATGCAGCTATTGATGTGCGTTCTGACATAAGAGAAATGACAAACTAGGTTGGGGGTTGGGGGAGAGGCTGTGGGGTGCAGGCACCAACTGTGATAGATGGTGGATGAGCCTATATACAGAGATTGGGCTGGGAAAGGAGAGAATTTGGAGAAAGTGCCTACATCCTGGTCATGCCCCCAGACATAGAGTCCCTGGATCTCTTCCATATTTTCTCCTTGTCCTGCAGTTTGGAAACTCTGGAGGTCCTCTGGTTAACCTGGTGAGTGGGACATCCTTCTTTCCAAGAATCCCTGCCCCAGGTCAGTGTGAGAAGGGGTGTGCTTCCCCTAATTCAATGATGTTTGGTTAAGTTTCTGAGCATTCTCCTGTTGGCTATCTCCCAGAATCCAGCAAGGTTTCCCCAACTCCCCAATACTCCCAGCTACTCTTGTTCAGGTAGTCCCATCTCCTACTATGTGTCTGGGCTAGGGAATAGTGGGCTCTATCCCTGCAGGATGGGGAGGTGATTGGAGTGAATACCATGAAGGTCACAGCTGGAATCTCTTTTGCCATCCCTTCTGATCGCCTTCGAGAGTTTCTGCATCGTGGGGAAAAGAAGAGTGAGCCTGGCTTGGCGGGGGGGTGGGGGGAATTCCTTTAAGTGGTGGGAGGGGCATTCACTGGGCTTTGCTGGGGGGGGCTGTCTATTGGGAGGAAAGGGTTGGGGAAGGAAGGAGGTAACTGGGTGAGGCTCATTTGTCCCTCTATCACAGATTCCTGGTTTGGAATCAGTGGGTCCCAGCGCCGCTACATTGGGGTGATGATGCTGACCCTGACTCCCAGGTATGAGCTTTAGGGGTAGTGACCTGTAGGACCACCAGTGTGTTCAGTTGTGGGCAACTGGCACTTCTGTTGAGCTTTGTTCTTAATTTTATCTTTATCTAAGATAAGTTGCCTCACACTTGGAGCTATCAGAAGAGCTGTTCTCTCCCATGATCTTGACTTTCTCACTCCAATCCATCTTGTACGCCTGCTACCAGATTGATTGCATCCTGTTACTGCTTTGATTTAAAAACTTAATTAACCTGGTATTTAGGGGCCATTTTCCATTTGTCTCCAATTTAACCTTCCAGATCTGGCTTCTTACATGAATATATTCTGTTCCAGCCAACCTGATTTCCTACTCCCATGGTTTTATTTATGTTGTTCTTGCTTTATATAGTTAAATACCAGAACCATTCTTTTAGGCTCAGCTTTTAAGTTCTACTCTCTCCTTAAAGTTTCTCTTAGAATTCTAGAATGACATTAGTGTTATTGTCTTAATACTATGTATCACTTGGAATTAGTTACCTTTTATATATATGTCCCACTTCCTAACTTCCAGAAGGCAGAAAGCCAGTTGCCTTTGTATCCGGAGTATCTAGTGCATGCCCTTGTCCATGCAGCTGTCAGTGTGCTGATGCGAGATTTGAGGTGAACGCAAGATGGGGAGAGTGCCTTGGTGTGGTTAACAGAGTGATCTCTGTCCTTTCAGCATCCTTGCTGAACTACAGCTTCGAGAACCAAGCTTTCCTGATGTTCAGCATGGTGTGCTCATCCATAAAGTCATCCTGGACTCCCCTGCACACCGGTGAGGGAGAGACTGCTTTGTGAGGTGGGGATGGGTGAGATGTGCATGTGCCCTTGAACTGGGCTGTCTATTCCCTCCTTTCTCTCTCTGTCCGTCTTTCACCATAGGGCTGGTCTACGGCCGGGTGATGTGATCTTGGCCATTGGGGAGCAGCTGGTACAAAACGCTGAAGATATTTATGAAGCTGTTCGAACCCAATCCCAGCTGGCAGTGCGCATCCGGCGGGGACCGGAAACATTGACCTTATATGTGACCCCTGAAGTCACAGAATGAGTGGGTCAGCAGAAGTATGAGGCTCCTGCTCTGATTTCCACCTTGCTTTCCTGGCCTAGGCTCTGAGGGTACCTGGACAGAGGATTAAATGAACCAGTGGGGGGCAGGTCCCTCCAACCACCAGCACCAATCCCTGGGCTCTGAGGAATCATAAAAATGCTTTTTATATAAAATAAAATTATACCTAGCATCATGTTATAGTCAAAAATAAGGGGGGGGTACTGATCTTTTCCCCCACAAAAAGGCTAGAGGTAAAGCTGTATCCCCCCCTCAACTGAGGGGAGATACTGGAGCTGACCATTCTGATCTCCCTATTCAAGAAAACCAGCTGCTGCTGTCTGTTGTTCTGGGCAGTTAATCAGGTGCTGCTCTTTGTCGTGTGCTTGGCTCGGTGCTGGGCCTGGGAGCAAAAATTCCCCACGCTTGGCCACGGATCCGGCAGCTGGCCTAGGAAGGAGGGCGATAACCTCGGCTTGACAGTCCACCTCCACAGCGCACACTGGATGAGTGCGGCTGGCCTGCTGATATCTGGGGTTCCTTGGTAAGCTCCTGAGGTAATGGCAGCCTCAGACCCCCGCCCTTAGGGGCCAGTGGTGGTTTGCGGAGGAGGGTGGCAGCACCTTAGACGATCTGGTTGCTGGTCTGGCCTGGGTAGCGCTCAAACCTCCGGTTGGCCTCTTCACTGAAGGCATCGCCTACAAGGTGAATGGGCAGTTTAGGTGGGGAAACAGACCCATTGTGGGGAAGGGTGGGTAGAAGTGGAGAGGCTGGGAGATCCAGAGGTGGGTGGGAAGACACAGAACCAACTTAGGCAGACGAGAATGAAGGTCTTTCCCTCCCATCCCCCAGTCTCCCTGGGCTCCTCTTCCCACCAAATACCAATGTGGCAGTTGTGCACCCAGATGCGGTGCCCGTCGTATTTGCAGTTACATTTCATTGCATTGTTGGTGAAGTCGCTTTCTGCTACTTCAAAATTGGGGTTGATGACCACCTGCGAGTGGGAGAAAGGCACCATAACCAGTTGCAGTCCTCAAATCCAAGGGCGTCTTTAACAAACATTCCTCCCACTTGCCAGCTGGATCTCAGGCCCCCGGCACCTGCAGAATGTAGTTTCCTGGCTTCACATCTGTGATGTCAATCCACTGGCAGTCGATGTCGTGCCGGTAGAGATCCCAGCAACCCACAGTAATGCCCTGCTCTCCAAAGTTGGCACACTCATACCTCTTGGAGACATCTGAGAGGGATTGGCATATGTCAGTGTGAGGCAAGACTGTGGGATGGAGATACCGGCGTCTGTTCGAGGCCCAACTCACCTTCCTGACATTCAGTGTCTTCTAGACAGAAACTAGCTTTGTGGCCCTCAGCCACCTTGGTGCCATTGGGGGTCAGGATATCATAGTGGGTGAAGATGTCCATGCTGTGGTAGTGCCTGTGGGGACAAGGGGACCCCTGTTGCCTTCCCTACCCCCCGCGGGTTTGCCCCATCTCCAGTGACCTTGCCCTTCTGCTTGCCCCCTCACCCGTGACACTCGTGCCACACCCAGGAATGGCGCCCAGCCTTGGGCCTGAAGTCCGCTCGTCCCAGGTTGTGGATCTGGGAGGAGAACCGGAGGAGACGCCTGTGGCCGTAGGGCCAGTTGGCCGAGCGGGCGGAGCGAGCCAGGCAGTTCTCTTCGGCGGCGCAGTAGAGCATGTGCAGGGGCCGGTCCTCGATGTAGGCCGTCTCCTGCACCAGGGCCGAGTGCAGCAGCAGATCTGATGCAGCTGCCCCCAGGAAGGAAACAGAGTGTGGGAGGTCGGTGCTGGGGGTGGGGGGCAGACGGGGGTGCCTCTCCTCCCCCTGTTGGGGGGAGAGGCTGGTTCTTCACAGGCAAGGAGTACCCCTCCAGCTTACAGCTCTCTTTTTCTCTCCAAGGGGGTGGCCCAGAGCCTCCCTTCCCTGGGTTCACTCACTCTCAGAACAGATGACTCCAGCAGTGAAGCGGGTTCCTGTTCTCTTGCAGGCAATGTGGGTGCTGTGATGAGCACATTGGTCCAGGGACAGCTCAGACCCTGTGCAGCGCACTCCACTCATCACCACCTCTGTGGTATTCCCTGAGTCCCAGTACCAGGTCTCCTGGGAACATATGTTGGTGTTTCTGTGAGCCCCACCATCCAGCCTCTTGGGCCAAGGGACTCATTTCCACAGTCCTCTACCCCAGACACAGGCTTTGGAGGCAAAGGCCTTGGTTTCCCTCCCCCCACTCACCTGCAGGCCATGGTTGGCATAGCCCAGTCCAAGTTGCCTACAGGCCACCATGGCCTCCAGTGTCCCCCAGTCATCCCCACAGATGAGGCCCCAGCGAAGGGACCCAGGTCCCCCTATTTGCACTTCCACTCGCCCCTCATGTCGGCTGCGGCCCCCACTGAGTCGGATCTGTAGTGACACAGAATGGAAGTTCTGGGTAAGCTTTTGCAGCAGGCGTGTGGCTGACGGGTGATTCAGAGGCACATAAGGGCTGGCAAGTGGGGGCATTGGATGGGAGCTGCCGGATGGTGGGGGCCTGGGACAGTGGGCTGGGAAGCTGTCAGGCTGCACATCATGACCAGGGCTGGAGAGGATGCAAGATCCCTGAACTGAACTGGAAAGAAAACTGACCTTGGTCTCTACCCCAGTGTAGGGAAGGTTGCATCGGACTCCAGCATCCTGGCTATGGGAACAGTCCTCGGCTGTGATATTCTTATGGGGGCACTTCCAGAGGGAGGGTTCCTGTCCAGAGCATCGAACTTCACTTAAGTGGATGGCACCCATGCCTAGGGTGAGAGGCCAAAGACCAGGAGGTTATAACTGGACCTTCACTGTCTGCCTCGGGGTCTCCTTCCCAAGGAATGTACCCCCCAGGAGAGTGTGTACCTTCTCCTTCCCTCTTCCTCCCATCTTCATCCCCCTCACCCTGCCCCATGCGGGCACCACTCAGAGCCTCTCGAGCACTCCCGAAGCCCAGCTCCCGACACACCACGCTGGCTGCCTGCAGGTCCCACTTGCGGTCACAGACTGTGCCCCACGTGCTGGCCTTCAGGACTTCCACCCGGCCCTCTCCAGGGTGGGCCCCACCCTTTAGACGCACTCGGGTCTATAGAGGAGAGAGATGTGCCCAAAAGCAGTGAATGGAAACATCAGCACAGAGGGCTAAGTAGACCTGGGAGATGAATGAGATTCTGGTGGGAGGGAGGGGGTGGTTTCAGGTCTGTGGCCCACCCCCTGGAGAGAGGTTCCTCTCTATCCTCAAAGGTCAGGGCTGTGCTTAGTCAGGGGTGGCTAGGCTATGGGGTTCTCCACCTGGGGTGGGGAAGGTTATAGTCACTGTCTCACACACCTCCCCCTGAGGCTTCGACTGTTGTTGCTTCTTCTGGCCACTGGATGCTGCGTAGAGAGGGCCTGGCACACAGCTCACCACCGCAGGGGCCCCCCCAGGGCACCTGGTGGTGTCATTGGCACGATAGAACTCCAAGGAGCAGAGGGAGAGGTGGGCCTCGGTGCCCACGCACGCCACCCCATGCAGACCAAAGGAGTGTTGCTGCCGCTGGGCCAGCAGCCTGGGGGGACAGGAGTGGGGTGCAGTAGGGTAAAACAATGCTCCTACCTCTGCCCACAACCCTCCTCCCCTCCGTGCCTCCACCATCCCCCAACCTTTCGTGACCATTTTATCCCTTCTTCTTCCCCTCTTCTCTGCTGCATTTCCCTCCATAGAGACAAAGGGAATGGGCAAGTTTCCAGGCTGAAAAAGCCCAGATTACCCAGACAGGAGGGTTTGGGGGGACCTGCAGCCGAGACCTCTCTGGGCAGGACAGCTAGTCTTGACTTGCCTGACAGAAACCTTGCTCCAAATGGTTTCAGGCTGCTGGCCCTAACGGAGGCTGGGGTTGAGACTGCTGTGCAGAGAGAGGGGGGCAAGCCAGGACTGCCCGGCTGAAAGAGATGGGCAGGAAGGAGTGGCTGACACAAACAGGAAGCCTGAAGAGCCAGCGGGGGGTGCACAGCCTGCTATTACGCAGAGACTGAGATCTGAATCAGGGTCAGGATGTAAAGGAGTGAGTCAGTCTTGGGTCTACATGGCTTCTCCGAGGCCAGAGAGTCTTCCAGGCCAGAATGTGATGGGTAGTTATGAGAAGAATATACCAGAATGTGGACACAGGGAAGGACTGGGCTGGCACATGTGGGAATGAAGATGTAGAAATGTAAGACAGACACAAGTTAGAGACCACATGGCCAGAGGAGAGTGAATACGCACAACAGAATGGAATGGTAGAGATCTCTCCAGACCTGAGCTGAGCTTTAATAAGGTAGTCCATGTTTCTGCGATGTAAACGTAACAGAATGTTCCATAGCCACCCAAGCACGAAAATGAGACTAAACTAGAGACATTAAAACTTGGAAGCACTTAGGAGAGATGACTTGTGAGATCGAGGGGGCTTGTTTACTGACACTAACAGAGTGAGAGATGGCAGTGGGGCACGCGATGAGAGCAGTGTGCAGGGAGAAGGGCTCGTATTGGTGAAGTGAGCCTGTGAGGCTGGCTTGGCAATGAGTTATTGTAGTAACGTGCCCATCACTTGATGTCAGAGGAAGGAAGAGTTCTGACGACTTGAAGTCACTGGCTAGAGGACGCAGAGAAGAGGAAAAGTTTATAAATACAACAGACAAAGGAAGCCTGGAGACTCTACAGAATACCTTTGGAGGCTCAGGATCAGTGGATTCTGAAGCTCAGACAGATCAGGTACTCTCCCAAAGTCCTGTGTGGCTGAAAATAAAAGTCAAAGAGGCCAATCACAGGAAAAAGAGATTGCTCTTTTAAACTTCCTCCTCCCCTTTCTCCACAAGGAACACAGTAAAAACAGCAGTGTGCAGTTGAGTTTGCGGTTCAGGGAAGACCAGAGCATGGCCATGTTGGGCACAGATGACCCTTAGCTAGAAGGCACTACAAGAACACCCCCAAATTCCGAGCTCCTTTGAAGCCACCAGAAGGAGGAGCTGGGGAAGGAGGGCCACCAGGGGACCACTGGGTGATCCTAGAATGTGCAGAACAGAGGAGGGGACGGAAGAAAGGGATGGATTTTCTGCTGAAGAAGCTATTGGGGAGACTTCTCACATGCAAATGGCCTTTGGAAGCCTAGTGAGAGGTAATCGCTGGGGTGGAAGCTTTCCACTCCCTTGAATTCTGAGGGAACCCATGAGAAAACTGGGGAATGGGGAGCCTCATTGTGTCAACTGGGCCAGAGACACACGGACTATAATCTGAACCCATCCCTGGAAAAGGTTTCAGAGGGGACCCTGAGTCTCACCTCCAAGCTGGTAGCACGTATTTTTAAAAAATTGATCAAATAAAGGTAAGTGGGGAACATGAATCCCTTAGGCAAACTGAACTTCTTGAGGGAGAGGCAAGTGTGGCTTCTGAAGGACAAAAGTGCCAGAGGATCTGCTAGAATTCACTGGGGGAAGATAAATAAGCATGGGGAAGAAGGGACTTGCAAAAATCCTGTGACAAGCATAGTTCCCCAGAAACCAACATAAGGGCCAGCATCACTTTACGTTTCAGTGACTCATCTGGAAGGTGGTTTGTAACAGTTACTGCTGCTCTGCCACGTCTTGGTGGGGGCGTCCTGGACCCCTTCCTGGCCACAGCCCCATTGCCCAGACTCATCATCACTGCGCTCTCCCTCTCCTCACACCCAGCCTGAACTTCATTTACCTCTTGATTGATCCCCTGCCCACTCGGGGTTTGGGTTTGACTTTAAACTTGGTGATTGGTCTGAAAAAAGGAGAAAGAAGTTAGTGGAGGTAGTGGTTAGGTATGTGGCCCAGGAAGGACACTTTATGCAGAGTGTGGGAAGGAGTAAAGTGAAGGGGGCCAGATTTTCCACCCCTACTGACTGCTGCATACCACTGAACTCCATTTTAGGAACTCAGGTTGCTCTCTGGATTCCACAGCAGTGATGAGAAATCCAGTCAGTCCAGGGGGTGAGGGGAGAGGGGACAAGAGGGCAAGGGAGCAGAGAGAAGGGGAATGTGGGTGAACTGGGGGGGGTGAAGAGTAGGGGGTAGGAAGCATGCAGGCGGCTGAGGCTGGAGTCTAAGCTATTTGGGGGAAGTATAAGGAGGAGGAGGCTTCTCCTCAGCCGTGCCTACATTATTTCCTCCCTGGGCACCCTAAGATCAAAGCTTGCCCATCCCCATGCCTGCCTCCCCATCCCCAGGAATGGCCATTTGCAGTTACATCCCTAATTCGTTAGCTTGGGTTCTGGGATGGACATGGATAGGCTGCCTTCCATCCATCCACCTCCTCGGGCCACAGGGGCGAGCAGGAGGTCCCGGGGCTCTTGCCCCATTACCTTCCAAGGGGCTTGGGGCGTCGAGCCGAGGCTTTGGCCGCTCGCTTCCTCAACTTTCTGTGAGGATAAGACAATAGCAGAGTCAAGATCAGTCTAGAACCAAGTGGGAAAGGCTGGTGCAGCTGGGGCCAAGGGCAAATTTCTTTTCCAACAGCGAAGTTGGAAAGTCAGCAGGATGTTATAACATGAGATACTCCCAAGGCTCAACCCTTCACAGCTGTTTGGCTTCACATGCCCATGACCAGGGTGATGAGCAGCAGTGAGGCACCTGGACTCAGGTTGATAGCGCCCCTATACCAGCATCCACAGAAATTAGGCTGGGGCAGAGGGGTAATGGGGACTAGGGTCAATATCAGGGTTGATCTAAACTCGAGGAGAGGGCTATGAGGAAGGGTATAAGTAGGAAGGTGTTAGGACTGTTAAGATTGTCAGAATGAGGGCGCCTGGGTGGCTCAGTTGGTTAAGCGACTGCCTTCGGCTCAGGTCATGATCCTGGAGTCCCAGGATCGAGTCCCAGGATCGAGTCCCGCATCAGGCTCCCTGCTCGGCAGGGAGTCTGCT